CAAATTATTATTGAAATATCAAATAGATGTAAAATGTCAGAACTCAAAAAAGGTATTCCTTTTATCATCATGCATGAATGATAAATGTATAAAAGAATAAGTAATGAAACTAACGAAGACATAATCAAACTAATTTCTCATGAAATTTTCCTGACAGTTAATTAAATGAAGTCAAGTATCTTGCATCCTTAGCTGAAAGTGACATATTCATGATTGTGGTTTTCTTTCTGCTTGCGTGCGTCCAGGTCAGCTCTCCCCGTGGATAGCATCTTGTTCCTTCAGCATCGAGCTGGCAGGAAACAATTAATAAACCAGGGTGTCCTAGTGTCATCCCAGGGTGGTTGGCTGTGCTTTTGGAGCATCACTGATGAGAATCACAGTTATGGTGAGTGGGATGCACAAGAAAAAGCTTAAAGAAGAGATTGATGTGAGGTCCTTTGGGGAAAAAAAAAAAAAAAGATGCTGCACTAGAAAACATTAATCTAAGATAAAAACTCTTAATCATCTGTCACTTCTAATTCTCCTCCTCCCATAAGAAGGATTTACAAACAGCCCTTGCAGGCAGTGACAGTTAGGCTGAACTGTCGACTTGGCTGCCAGCCGGTACCATTCCTGGCAGCCCACAACTATGTCTCTTTCCAGATCGCATCTGTGTTTAGTGGTGTGGGATTCATGCACTGTAACCACTGCATATGGGTACAGGCTTGCATGAGTGCATGTGAGTGAACTGTATGTCTGTATAGATTTATATATGTATCTATGTGTCTGTGCATGCTTCCAGCAGAGAGGGGGATTTGAAATTATGACATACGAGGAATGCAGGTGACAACTAAAATCTGTTGAAGGGCTTGCAGTTTGTCTCAGAAGTACTTTTGTTGTTGAAGTGAAGAAAGAATTCTTGAAAATGGTACAAAGACAGAATATAAATAGATTTGCTTGCATGCAGTTTTGAGTGAACCGGCAGACTTTTTAACTGCCTATAAAGATACATCCAAGCCTATTGTTACAAGCAAATTTCTTTTAGATTGTACTTAGTACTTTATGCTTGGATGAGTTTACGAGCACAAGTCTATTTTTTCTGTGTTTTTTTTTTTTTTTTTTTTTTTTTTTTCCCCCTCCAGGTCATTTCTACGCTCCACAGCAGCCAGGTGAGCGTGTGCTTAGCCTGAACTCAGATCAGTCTAAAAACACCATTCTGGTCTCAGGTGACACAACGGGCTCACTTCAGATTTGGGACATTTCTTCCTTTGCAGTGGACATCCAACCTGAGGTGTGCTGGGAATAAGATTGCACCTGGTGTACTGCACCTCATATCCCCATATACTTGACATAGTTTTCTTCATACAGGCAACTTGTGAACAACCTCCACTGCTGCAATCTTGGAGGGCTCACAAAAGGGCTTTGATATGTGTGGATGTCCTTGAAGTGTTTGACAGACTGTTTGTAATGACAGCATCAGTTGATGGTTCAGCTGGACTATGGACAGAGGATGGCAATCATGTGGGTTTTTTTGGGCAAGAGGTGACGTGGAATATCGCTGACCCAGGAACTTATCATAGGTAGGTAAACTGGCTTGTGTCTTTTTTTAACATCTTTCAGCACGTTACCTTCATTAATTATTATTTTAAAAAAAAACACAAAGAATTACAGAGAGCTTTTTTGGATGATGGTTCTGGATCTGCTATTTGAGTTATTTTGGCTTGCTTCCTCTGCAATCTGCTTTGCAACCCACCTCCTCCATTTCATGCTGTACCAGCTGTACCAACTTAATCAATGTCAGGTCTACCGTGCATTCCCATGCCCCTGCTCATTTCTGCATCTTTCCATGCTTGTGCATGGCATGGTGGAAGGTCCTAGCAGAGGGCCGTACTTCCAGATATAAACAGCTGTAGATGGAAATAACATTTTTATTGTGACTAGTGGTCTTGACAGAAATGTGTTTAATACACACGGGGGAAGAGGTCAGTAGAGAGAAAATAAAATTGAGCCAAAACGTCACTCCTTGTTCATTAGAGGCAATAAATGCTAAAAGTGATTGCACACATAATAATTTGAAGCACAATTTTTATTATACATGCCAAGTTTCAAGATGAGGCTTGCAAACATGGCAGTCTTTTGAGATTAGATCATTCAAGAGTATCAACAACTAGAAGAGTGGCAAATTAAAGCTGCCAGTGTCAAACAGAAGACAAGTCCAATAAGTGATAATATCAACAGTGAAGGGTTTGTACCAAATCTAATATAAGTATGAAATGTAAGAAATGTACGTCATGATCGAACATGTTCTCCAAAATAAACTTCCCTTGCTGTTCCACAAACATTTGAGTCTTTAATAAAAACTTCATTTTGGTTAAAGGTCGTAAACTCTGGCTTGGCTCACATCTTTGCTCTCTGTATTTCTGTCACATGCTGGGTAACATGGACCATGAAGGAGAGCTGTCAGGAATAATTTAATTTCAGGGGATGGAAAAAGCACAGTTCAAGTTAAAGACAGAGTCAGCACATGCTTAGAAATATAAATAAATGTCTGCATAAACCTCACCGAGGAGCAAAATCATGACAACAGTATTGTTTAACTTATGGAGAGTGTACATTTAATGTCTGTGTGAGGGTGTGAGAGAGTGACCGAGCCAAAGTGTAAATAGAGTGCTGCAGGGATGGTGGTTTTTTTCATTACTCATTGTTTCATATAAAAAAGGAGACTTTTTTTGTAGGTTTTTGAATTTAGAATAAACTTTATGTGAAGTTTGTGACATTTACAACAAGATCATCTTTATGAATTATCACCAATATTGGGCTATAAATAAGCACATCTGGAGATAAAAAATCTTGGATGCAGTAAAACTTGCAGTTGCTCCAATAGTAGAAGCAAACAAGTTCACAGCCTTTTGTTTTTTTTCCACCTTTATAAGATCCAAGGGGTGGGGGGGTTAGGAGTGAGGCCACTTTTAGTGATAAGTAGTGACCACCGACAATATAAAACCTGAATGTAACTTCCAGGTCTGTCTGAAGACCAACTATTAGATGTGGTTGCAAAAAACAGAATCAATGGGAAAATGGCTTTATGTCTTGACCTTTGTGGACTATTTTCTAGAAAGGTTCAGTCACTAATTTTGGGTCACATTGGATAAAAAAACAAAGCAAAACCAAAAAAAACTTGCTTTGTAAACACAGTACTAGTTTCTCACTTGTCAATCGTTGTGATTGAAAATAGTACTGTGTTTACAAAGCATGCACAGACACATATACCAGGGCCAATGAGCGTGGAGTTCCACAGTTACACCCTCCCTTTCTAATCACATCTAGAAAACCAACACGGTGACAGAGGAAATGCTCATCATAGCAGTAATTACTAATAATTATTTGCGTATGTGCATTGTGCAATTTATGTAGCAGCTTGCTACTATAACATTAAGTAATAACTTACCATGTGGCCATCTTTTATATATAGTCAATGACTGCGATGATGTTTAATAGGCCTAATAACATCCATAGCCTCATTTAGCCACTTTTTTTTTTTTCAGCAAACTACAGGTTTGGGAAGTGTAAAAGATTTAAAATTGTGTTTGTTTTGTTTTTATAGATTTTATATTATAGAACAAAATTGGAAAATCTCCTAAATTTTATTAAAGACAGACCTTATTTCAGACAGAGAAATTAATAATAATAATAATAATAATAATAATAATAATAATAATAATAATAAAAAAAGCCCATTAACTTTGATACAACAGAACTTGAAGTGGAAAATAATAACTCAGTTCTGAGTTTTAGCACTCATTCAAGCAGCTTGTTGTCAGTTATACTCTTTGTATGGATGGCACTTCACCACTCTCTGCTGCTGCCACTTTGGCTTCATTCTGTGGGTGGTTTAATCAGCAACCCACAGAGCACTAGACAACACGCAAGTGTCCTTTAACATACTCTGGTTGTAAGGGCAGGTTCACAAAGCAGCTTACATGTTTGCTTACCAGTTTTTAACCCAGCAGTATGACCAGGATTGTTCCATCATTCCAGCCCAGCAAGCTCAGCGAGGAAGTAATGCAACACACCATACCTCATTCAACCACAGTGTAGGTCATACTATGCATATAGCAGCACAGACTGAGACCTAGGAAACAGTTTTCTTCCATTCGAGTCATCCTAGCTGACTAAACCTGTATAGCCCTAATGATTTTTAAAATGTAGTACCCACCTCAGCAATGATTATAAACATGTACAAAAGTGACAACTACTGACATAGGACACCATCCTTTGAACAACCAAATTCAAAGCAACTCTTTAGGGCATTTTTACTGTGCAGCCATAAATCAAACGCTGGCTCCCTAAATTGTCACTTAATTATTGTAACTTTGAGAATTCATCTTTTATATCTGACAGAGCAAGTGTAAACATCGTAACTTCACATTATAGCAGTTTTTCATGTATGTAACTGCGTCACAGATGATACCAATTAACTTTTAAAGTATCTTTAGCCTCATTTTACCACTAATGTCAACTGCTTAAAAATGCTCTGCCAGCACTTATTAACTTGTAAAGTTGTGAAGTTGAAATCTTGCATATGTTGAAGTCATTATGTCAGTTTTAACTCATCCACTAAAGCAGTGCATGCACAAACACACACACACACACACACACACGCGCGCACACACAGAAGGAGCACACAGCGTACTCAAATGCTTCACCACAGAGATCGAGAGCAGTAACAGCTCTGGTTTGAATCAAATCTAACAACAAACATCCTCACAGATATCGGCCTCTGTGACAAATCTTCATCCAAAAGGATCACTGACCCATGTCTTGTCTATCAGGAGATTGACGTGTATGAAATTGGCAAACCCATATCTCAAGTAAACACTGGTATTGTTTTGCTCTGACACTCTCAGGAATACACGGAACAATCTGAGAGAAGAGAGGAGGACTGAAGGTGAAAATATGGAAGCCAGTGA